TGTATTCTAAATCTCTTTTCCAACCAAAATATCAATATTTGGAAAATCTTCTAAAACCTATTAAAGGTATAAATTTTTATAGTTTCAGCAATTTCGACAATAACAACATACCACCACCGCACAAAGCTAAAACTAATTCTGTCTTTATTTTTGACGATGTGGCATGTGACAAGCAAAATTTAATGAAAGAATATTTTAGCATGGGACGACACAGAAATATAGATTGTTTTTATTTATGTCAAACCTACACATGTATTCCTAAGCATTTAATAAGAGACAACGCAAATTTTATCATTTTATTTAAGCAAGATAATTTAAACTTGCGCCATATCTATGATGATCATATCGGCACTGATATCTCATTTGATAAATTTAAAGAAATGTGTTCATTTTGCTGGCAAAACAGTTATGATTTTTTAGTAGTCGATAAAGAGAACGAAATTCGTAGTGGTCGGTTTAGAAAAGGATTTGATAATTTTATTGATCCATTTTCATAATTTCAGTCTATAGAAGTATGTTGAACATTCAACATGCCAGTTCCTGTAAAATATAAATGTCCAAAATGTGGAGGTGAAACAGATACTCCTAACTTACCATGTATATACTGCTACTATAAAGATCATATAAGAGATCATTACAAAACAAAACATGTGCATCTGTACTATTGAATAAAGTATTTTTATAGAATGTTTGTGAAATTTTGCATAGGTATATAAGCCTATCATTCAAATAAATAGATTCAGTTTATTTGTATTTTCGGAAGCCTTAGGAGACATGGATTCAAAAATATCAGATGTGGTTGATTTAAAAAAGAAACTGATTAAGAAAAGAAAAGATTTACAAAGAAAATTAGAACTAATTAAAGCAACTCAACGAAATGAAGAGAAAAAGTATGAACCCCTCACTAAACATTTGGAAACATTAATTGAGAGACGGAGTGAAAATCCAATAAAAAGTAATCAAGATGTGAAAACAAAAAATGTGTCGAACATTGAGCACAGTACACCTGCAAAGCGAAAGTTAGAAAATACAATTCTGTCTCCTGTTCGTGAGAAAAAAACTATTGTTACTACACCAAAGCAAGCAGAAATTTTCACGCCAAGACAAAAAAGAATTGCTACAAAAGTTGCTAACCTTGTGAAAAGAATCGATGCCATCAAAAATGAAAAAGAAGATCGAATGAGTCCGATTAGTTCAAAATATGATGTTTTATCACAGGAAGATTTCGAAGAATCAATAAATAAAACAGATGCACAGGACAATGTGTTCCAATACATTCCCGAGGAAGACAATGATAATTATAACTTCAATGAGGTTCTTGAAAAATCTGTTCAGTTAAGTAAAAATTATATTAAAAACATCGTTGATACAGACGTTTACAACGAATATTTAAATGATTTTGATGAATTACCCAGAAAATATATTGACGAAATGCATCACGATGCAGAAAGTAAATTTGATCACAGAACAGGCGTAAGACATGACACTTTCTCAGAGAAATTTTATATTGGTTCGAAGGAGGTACAATTTATAGGTCCAGATATAAAAATAGACAATGAAATCTTTAAAGGGACTCCTGGAATTTATGAACTTATTTTTAAAAAGAAGCCTGTTCATTTTACTACGGAAGACAAGGAAATTTACAAAAAAATTTTAGAAAAAACCAATGCATATCGAAGAAATTTCGATGAAAATGATCGAATATTGGGTACAAGTTCGATGAAATACAAAAATATTATAGGACCATTATTCTCAACTCTCACGAAGTATAAAAAACCGAAGAAAGGTGGTCAAGTACTATTTAAAGAAGTAAACACAAATAAAGTTGATTATGTGTATTGGGAAGATCCAAATGAATTAGTTGAAAGACTGAAGTTGTTAGTCGCTTCCCAGACAGCAGGCCATTCAGGTCATCAAAACGAAATCGTTTCTATAATAGAAGAACTACGCGAAGCTAAAATTATAGCTTAATATGACTCTGGATAAATTCGGGCGTCATTTGTTAAAACATGCTAAACTTTCAGGTTCTATCGACAATGATATGATTACTATTTCAAACTATATGTTCTATAATCTGATATTTCGCTTCGAATCCGATAAAACCGTGGAAAACACGTATGTATTAAATTCTAAAGAAACGCACTATACGTTTCCTTTAGAAATTGGAACCCTTACAAAATTGAATATTACCATTAATGAAATAAATGTTTATGTAAATAACAAATTTTTTAGTAAAGAAGAATTGAAAGGATTTGTACTACGTAACGGTGATCGAATATCGTTCAAATATGCTGTAAATAAAACAGAAAATGTACCAAATTTGTTCGCAGAAATGATAATAAAATGTCCTGTTAATTTTGAAGAATCGTTAGTTAGTGCCGAGAAAGCACATTATATACATAAGACTGATAAAAATGAAACGCAAGAAGGTGTATGAGCCAACTCCCATTAAAAGAGATATTGTTGCAGAATTGCACAAACCCGTAAGAATTAATTTTAAACGACGCAAGGTTATAATAAAAGGTATTAATGAAACATTACAAGCAGATCTAGTGGAAATGATACCGTATGCTAAGATAAACAGAGGATACAAATATATACTTGTTGTTATTGACTGTTTCTCAAAATACGTGTGGGCTGTCCCTGTAAAGTCAAAAGATGCTCAACAAATCGCCACTGCAATGGAAACAATTTTATCCAAAATCGTACGGTTACCCAAAAATTTACAAACAGATCAAGGAAAAGAATTCTACAACGTAAAGTTTCAAAATCTTATGAAAAAATACAAAATTAATCATTACAATGTCTACAGTTTAAAAAAAGCCTCAATCGTCGAAAGAGTAAATCGCACATTAAAAAATTTAATGTGGAAAGAATTTAGTTTGCAAGGAAATTATAAATGGTTAGATTTATTGGCAAATGTGGTACATCGATATAATAATTCTTATCATCGTACTATAAAAATGAAACCGTCACAAGTTAACAAAAGTAATGAAAACGCTATTCTAAAAGCTGCTTATACTCAGATTAAAATAGTTAGCAATAAATCAAAATTTAAAGTTGGTGATAACGTAAGAATAAGTAAGTATCGCGGAATATTCGATAAGGGATACACACCCAATTGGTCAAATGAGATTTTCATAATAAGAAAAATTAATCTCACTAATCCCACCACATATTTTTTGAAAGATGAAAAGGGTGAAAACATTTTAGGTGGTTTCTATGAAATGGAACTATTGAAAGTTAAGCATCCAGGTGTATATCTCGTTGAAAAAGTTTTAAAAAAGAAAGGTAATCAACTTTATGTTAAATGGTTAGGATTTAATAACACCCACAACAGTTGGATTGATAAAAAAAAAATTACATAGTCGCTTTTCTCTCAGTCAGTTGACATAATTGATACGATGAAGTTGGTTGTAGTCGACGTACAAGGTTTTTGTCTACCTGAATTCATTGTAAAAGAACTTGCGATTTACGATGGAATTAACACAATACACGAAACATTCAAATCTACAAAACAACTCAAAGAAATCGATGAAAGAACGAAGAAACAAGCTAGATATCTAGAACGTTATCATCACATGTTGAGATTTAATGACGGCTTCAAGGAGCAGATATCTGTAAAAGAAATTTTGTTCAAATACATCAAGGAATATGCAGTGGAGATCTTATATGTAAAAGGAAAATGTAAAGAAAATTACCTTAGGGAAACGCTAGGAAAAGACTGCCCCAAAATTGTGAACCTCGAAACAATTGAAGACTCTGTGAAATTATCTAAAGAAATCCCAGCATGTGATAAACATATTGCTAATAATAAAAAATGTTACTGTTCTTTAAACAATGCTAAATGTATTTACAATTGGTTGTATTCAAGGTTTCCTCAATAAATAATACTATATTAAACTGTGTTTTATTTAATCGCAACACAAAACGTCAAAATAACGAACGAAAAAAAAAAAACTGTCAGGTGTGGGATTCGAACCCACGCTCCCTTTCGAGAATCAGAGCTTAAATCTGACGCCTTAGACCGCTCGGCCAACCTGACTATGGAAAAACGGGTCAGGTCGATCGAGTAAAAGGCATTGCCAAAACGTACAGGTCAGGCACGTGAAGTCCTAAGGCAAGTCAGCCAAGGCCAGCCCCGTGCAGCGACCCGACCTAAAAAAAAAAGAGGGGATAGATCTCGAGATGACCAAGGGCAATAAACGTAATTCCTACAGACGAATCCATCGACTTTTATACAAGTATAAAACGGAAGTGGGGATGCGAGATTGCGTCCGAGATCCCTCCCCGACCTAAACGAAAAGAGGGGATAGATCTCGAGATGAACGAGGGCAATAAACGACCAAGGTCGAGCAACGACTAGGTCAATGATCGCCCGATGAAAAGTAATGGGGGAGCTGGACCAGCTGGCAAGGTCAGCCACGTGCACCGACAAGCTCGACAACAAATGAAAGGTCAATGACCGCTCGATGAAAAGTAATGGGGGAGCTGGACCAGTTTGACCTCATTTGACCTGGTCTAGAACCCCCACTATATAACTACTCGCTTTTATTGAAGGAGTCTTTTTAAAACTAACAGCAAATCTAGAGACTATGATGATGACAAGAACCAGGAAAATTTTGAAAAATTGTTCAAAGACGTTGATACCAAGTTTGCAGAAATCTTCTCTTATTGTGATAGATAACGCAAGTTATCATAGTAGACTTGAGGTGTCAATTTGGTCTTCATAGATTCTATGATGATAACATGAACCAGGAAAATTTTGAAAAATTGTTCAAAGGACGTTGATACCAAGTTTGCAGAAACCTTCTCTTATTGTAATAGATAACGCAAGTTATCATAGTAGACTTGAGGTGTCAATTTGGTCTTCATAGATTCTATATTGTAATAAAACTTCACTTTATTTGTAGGAAGAAATTCCTCGAAAAAGTTGCACAAAGACAAAAATTATAGCATATTTAAATAAAAGTGGGATTGATTATTATCCACCCAAGGCAATGAAAGACCAAATCTGGGGAATATTGGTCAACAAACAACCCCAAAAACGTTATCATTTAGATTCGAACGCCCAACATCATGGGCATTGGGTATTGAGGCTGGTCGGAAGTTAAAAGAAATTATGGTAAGATCATTCCAAGAACCAGCTCTTCCCCTAATGATGTGATTAATTAAGTTTCGGCTGTGCATTGGAACAATTGCGTTAAACATACTGATAAAATAATAAATTATGCTTGGGAAAATGAAAAAAAAATATTTATTTCAGAACAGAATGAAATTATTATTAAGTTCACATCGATTGCGGATTTTTATTCTCGTAAAGAGGAACCAGCGAGCCGAGAGGACCAAAAGAAGAGCGAAAGGTTTCTAGAGCCATAGAGGTGCCGGAGAGAACAGAGAGCAAAAGAGCTAGGAAGGTCCCAGAGAGAGGAGTCAAAGAGCCAAAGAGGAGATAAAAAGTAGCCGAAGAGGTTCCAGAGAAGCAGACAGGAGCCAAAGGGGAGTCAGAAAGTCAGAAAGAAGCCAGAGGAAACGGGCGAGACATCCAAGAACCATAATGGAGTCAAAGAGGAGCCAAAGTGGAGCCAGATGTTTAAAGAAGAACCAGAGAAGAGCTAGAAAAGCAGAAACGAGCCAAAATGTAACCAGGGAGCCACCATAGAGGCAGAGAGGTTCCAGAGGTGAGCTACAGAATCAAAAAGCAGGACAGAGAAGTTAGAAAAGAGTCAAAGAGCCAAAAAGGAGCCACAGATACCCAGCGAGAATCCTGAGAGCCAAAGAGAAAGCTATAGTGAAACAGATGTCAAAGAAGAGTTAGAGAGAATTCAGAAAGGAGCCAGAGAGGAGCTAGAAGGCCGAAGAGGACCCAGAGAACTTCCAAAGAGGAGCTAGAGCAGAGCCAGAAAGTCTGAGAATATTCAGAGAGCCAGAGAGCACGCAGAGAGCCAGAAAGGAATTTGAAGGCCAGAGAGGTCTCAAAGAGGAGTGAGAGTGTCAGAGAAGAGTCAGAACCAGAGAGGAGCTAACAGGACTCGAAAAGTTAGGGAGAAGCCACAGGGACCCGAGGAGAAGGCTGAGAGTCAGAGAGAAGCCAGAGAAAACTCAGAGAGCCAGAGCGGAGCCAGGGTGGAACTGGAGAGCAGCTAGGAAGGAGACAGAGGACCAGAGAGGTTTCAGAGAGGAGTCACAGAGGAGGCAGAAAGCCAGAAAGGGATCAGGGAGCCTGAGAGATCCCAGAAAGGAGCCAGGGAGGTACCAGAGAGCCTAAGAGGTCCTAGAGAGGAGTTAGAAAGTCAGAGAAGAGTCAAAGCGAGCGCATCTTACGATGAGCGAAAGCGAGCTATTCTCGAGGTTGCTTAATCTTTTATTTGTGGTGAATGCTATTGTGATTCTGAAAAGAACCTGTGTTTCTGACTTCTCTCTGGCTGTACACCGATCAATCTGTAGCTCTCTTCTTTCTTAGGCACTCTGGCTCTTCCCTGGGACATTTCTGGCTCTCTGGTACCTCCCTGGCTTCTCTTTGGGATCTCTCTGGCTCTCCAGCTCCTTTTTGGGACCTCTCTGATACCCCCTGGCTCCGTTTCGACTCTCTGACCCATCTCTAGCGCTCTAACTCTTCTTTACCTCCTCTCAGCTTTTCTCTGACACCTTTCTGCTCCTCTCTGGCTCCTTCCTGGCCTCTCTTTTAAACCTCTTGGGTCCTTTGGCTCCTCTCTGACCCCCTCTGCTCCTCTCTAACCCTCTAGCCCTTCTTTGATTCCTCTTCTTCTCACTGGCTCCTTGTGACTCCTCACTGGACCTCTCTGGCTCTCTGTCTCCTTCCTTGTTCCACTCTGACTCCTCTCTCTCTCTCTCTGGGTTTTATCTGAATCCTCTCTGACTCTCAGACTTTTCGCCGACTCCCTCTGGCTTCTCCCTAGCTTTCTGGCTCCTATCTCGCTCCTCTCTGACTCCTTGATTCTTCTGTGACTCTCTGACTGCTCTTTGGGACCTATCTGGATCTCTGCCCTCCCCTGGCTCCTCTTGGTCTCTCGGACTCCTCTCTGACTCTCTGAATCTTCTCTAGCTCTCTGCCTCCTCTCTGATCCTCTTTGATTCTTTTGCTCCGCTATGACTCTCTGGCTTATCTCAAATTCTTTAGCTCTTCTCTGGCTCATTTCTGACTTCTCTCTGGATCCTCTATGCTACTATCTAGCTTTCTGACTCCTGTCTCGCTTCTTTTTGGTTCTCTGACTCATCTCTGAGCCTCTGACTCCTGCTCTTTAGGCCCTATCTGCACCCCCTTTGTCTTTCTTTGGCTCTTTTGACTCATCTCTGACCGTCTGGCTCCTCTCTCGCTCTCTAGGTTCTATCGGCGTCCCTTCCGATTCCATTCTGGCTCTTCCCTGAGTCCTCTCAGGCTATCTGGTTTGTCTCTGACTCCTTTTTGACTCTTCTCTGGCTCTCAAGCCTCTCTCCAGTGTCTCTTTAGTGCTCTGGCTCCTCTCTGACTCTCTGGTTCTTTCTAGTTCCTCTTCGGCTCTCTGACGTCTTTCTGGCTCTCTGGTTCCTGTGTACATCCTTATTAACTTCTATGTCTCTCTGGCTTCTCTCTATATGTGCATTTGTGTGTGTTTATTTTTTGTTCTTCTTGAATATGTTCCTCTTTTTTGCGTCTTTTGTGTTCCTTCCTCTTGTCGATGTTCCCACTTTTGTTTCTCCTGCGCTTGTCTTGTATGTATTTTTCTTCTATGTTATTTATATTTGTTTTCTACGTTTGTGTTCTTGTTGTGTGTTCATCTCATGTGTGTTCCTCTTGTCTTACTCAAATGCGTTTACTTTTTGTGTTTCCGTTGTGTTCCTCATGTGTCTTTTGCTGTAGTCGATGTTCTATGTATGTATTTCTTTTGAAAGTGTTCTGTCTGGTGTTCCTTATTTGTGTGCGTTTCTCGTGTGTCTTGTATATGTATCTTTTATGCGTGCTTAATTTGTATATGGTTCTCTTTGTTCATTTTGTGTGCTTTTCATTCACATTGACAATTGTACTTATTATTGTTATTGCTGTTGTGTTATTTGGTTGTTGTTGTTGTAATTGTTTGAATTGCTGTAATTGTTGCTATTATTGTTGTTACTGTTGTTTGTTTCGGACCAGTTCTACAAACTTTCATTTACTTGACTTATTGTTAAAGAAATAAAAAAATTATGGGGATTTTTCATGATAGGTTATGATACTATAACGTACTGCATATAAAATTCATAAAATCTTATTATGCATAAAGATAAGAAAAAAGCTTAATTTTCCACTAAATAAAATATCCACACACGTTCTAATATCATCAACACGTTTTTAAATGGAAACATAAATTTTTTTCACTGCATAGTGTCAAAATTTTCGTCCAGTTTTTTTTATGTTTATTAGAACGGTCGTTTTGAGGTAACGGAATTTTCTCCTCTTTTAGAATTAGACCTAAAAACACTTTGCCTTGACGTAACCGAAGCAATTTTCATTATCAACAATGAAACTTTTCGTCTTCCGAAAAACATCCCTACGGCCATCATTGTGCCTTCGCGCCATTTAATCAGCAAAATGCTTTCCACCCTTTGAAAACGAAGCTATGTTTTAATGGTATTCATGCCCAACGCTCGTCGGAGTAGTCGGGCAGCACTTTTCAATGAAATTGTATCGATTCCATTGAACGCCTAGTAAAAGAGGGGCCGACATTGTATCTGTTGATTACAGATAGAACACGATTCGGACCAAGTACCTTCCGATGAAATGCTGACCTGAAAGCTCGTGTCGTGTTCAACGACCGTCTCAGCGCACAAAAAATCGCATCGACGAGAATCCTCCAAACCAATTCAAATCAGGTGGAAATATTCCGCTTTACGAAACAACAGAACAAAATAGAAAATTGAAAAGAAATAAGTTTTCATAAATTCGTGAATCTTGGATTTGCAGTGAACCTGAATATTACAATTTTTTATTATTAATGTACCAAAATATCAATTCCTATCGCAATATAACCTTTCTTAACATAACCAGCAATAAATTACCCTGTGGACTTCATTTTTTAGTCGTTCGTTCGCTCACTTTTGTCGGGCCGTTTACGTTCTCCATCCGAATCACACTTTCCATATTTGACGATGGGAAATTAGCAAAGCTGCTGTCATTAAGGGCAAGAAGGGGCCGTTAGGTGATGCGGCGGCGGTTGGCGGAGAATATAGAGGGAGATTCGTTGTCAAGTTTCGAAGGGGCGAGGAGGAGAAAACTAAGAAGAGGCACTGGGACTGATAAGAGCGAGATCCGGGGATCGCTCCGGGACAATTTATAGCGGCAACTTTTAAAACACACTCCGGGGGCGGCGTATATAACGTTCGGTACAGTCCACGGCACCACTCTCAACGTTTTTAAGTGTGGAACAGAGCGATGGCGGTTTTATAACGATGAAAGTTTTAATTGAGCGGAAATAAATTGGGAAAAATCGAAACAGGACGGGATTAGGCGGGGCGTGGGGGCGAAGAGGAGAAAGGCTGAAATGAAAGGTTAATTTGTTCGTCATTAGGGCTTCGTTAAGAGAAAAAAGTGAGTTTGGATGGTTGTGGATGTGTCAGAATTTCGGTTGGCGTAAATAACTATGACATAAAAGAAATAGTTGCTGTGTTTCCGAAAGTCAATCAGATTTACATCAAATCTAAAAATTTGAGATCATTAGATATAATAATATCAGTTCTGATTCAAGCCTAAATCGTACAGTATTTCTAAATAAGCTAGCATATAAAAAATATATATAAACTTGATTTGCCAGCGCTTAGAATACAGGAAATTAATTTCGTGTGGTTGTCTGCAAAAAATATCCAGCAATCATAAGTCCTTTGATGACAGTGACCTGTAAATGTGTTACGCTATAAAAAATGTATCGAAAATTGATTAAAGCAAGTCACGTTCGACTAGAATGGTATTTAGTTATATTAGTGATGTTCTTGCCTCATAAGATTTTTGGTTTTCCTTAAAAAAAATGAAATTATTACTTCTTGTTAGTAAGAAGACCATATATGTGTAATATGTAACAAAAATGAAACATTTATCAGGCTTTAAGTGTTTATACGGCAAAGGTGAAGTTAATTTAATTGTTGCGATGCAAAATATTACATGCTCGTGCACATTTGTCAAATACTGTGGCTGGAAATACGAGTACAAATGATGTCCATAAAACTTGATTGTAGTAGACTACCTTGCCATTATCTGGCACTCATTAAATGCCTTTGCATATGCATGTGTATATATGTACATTGTGGGTTAGTCAAACTGATTATCCAGTTGTAGAGCCTCCACCACTGAAATGCGTTTTCGAGAGTGTCTTTTTACGTTTTCGGAGTCGTTTATAAGCGTTATAAATTTTTCCATATGAGTTATCTTGTGGAGGTCCCCGAGTGTACCGATGCCACAGTGAGTTTTATCAGCGCGATATTATTTTCGCTGCTGTTTAGATAAGAACGCCGGGGTTGGAAAAATAAATTGCCCTCCACGGAAAATAGCTGAACTTTTCCAAAGAACGGATTCCCCCGTTTCTATTGTGCTCAGCCGCAGTGTTCGACCCACCCCATGGTTCACTTTTGCCGGCACCACGCGCGCTCTTTTACACATAAATTTCACGTATATATAACCGTTTTGATTTATTTAACACAAACATATTTTACGAGATAAAACTAAAAAAGGGAATTCTGGAATCGTGAGCATAAATCTAACGGGGGAGTGTTTGCAATTAAAATTTTAAATTATTATTTTATGTGCGTTTCGGACGAAAATTTCAACAAAGTTTCGCGGATTTATGGATGGCACGATAAGCAATTAAACAAGCAGGGGAGAGAGGGGAACGTGGACCACTCAAACGTCACTTTTACATCATTGACTCAAATTTTGAATTCAATAAATGGAAATATAGTTTCTTTGAATCATTACAAAGATACAGGGATGAGATACGCCAAAAAATTATGAGTTAAAAGATTAAATAAAATTATGTAATTGTCAAAAACGTACGAACTATAGACCTTTTCTTAATTTCCATTATGCCAACATTCCGTGTCTGTACCTAACAGTTATTTTTTGAAAAATTCGTCATTGTATGCATTATTTTTTCAAATAATGTTGGAAAACTAAAGAAACTACAACTTTTGTCACTACTGAAAGTTTCGACTTTCCTCACTAGTGGAGAAAAAAACCCATTCGTCACTGAAACTGATTTACGTCAATGAGTAAGGCGAACCCCGGTTTGGTTATCGCTTTAAAAAACTTTAAATGCTAGTGTTACAATTCATCTATTCAATTCAAATTTTCAATCATTAAGTCCGAAATTTTTTATTTTGTAGATTTTAATTGGTAG